CTTTACCTTAACGCCGTCTTTTTGCTGTTAACATTACAAGAGCAGTGAAGTTTTAAGTTGACATTCAAAAGTGCGGAGACACCTGGAAGAGTCGCAGAGAAGAGGTGTCACTCCACTGATGTCGAGCTAATATAAGGATGGCAAAAAATTACGTGCTCTATAAAAAACGCCGAACTTCATTTTTTGTCAGTAAATATTCGAACGAAATTACTTCTGTAAAATAGCGAATTAAAACATCCAATAATTATCTGAAAAAAAAAGTTTCGAAGTAGCTAATGCAGTTGATATGGGTCCGAATTCACTTCGACATGAAGTCGATGGTGCGCCGAAGCTGGAGAGTCCTCTGGTTTGACGAGAAAAAAGTCTCCGTAAAGCAGCTAAAACTCCGAATCACCTTCAACTTTTTTGCTCAGCTCTTAGGAACATTCGTAATTGAAAAATACCTGCGAGAATTCGTTCGCTGAAAGTTTGATGATTTGGAGCAGTATCAGTGCTTTGGACAAGCCCTCCATTGATTTTTATCGATAAAATCATGGAAATCAATGTGAAGACCAATCATGAGGAGGTCATAAAGAAAGCTCTGGTGCTCTGGAAGCAGAGTAACAACAATGTCGTCGTTGTAGAGGAATGGGCTCCAGCTCACCGTGGAACACTTTTTCTGGCGCACATATTTTTCGCCACCCTGTACTCATCTACGACAGTGCCAAATTTAGTCCATCAACCTGGTCACAAAGTGAAACATTCAGAAAGTGAAGTAGAGAGAAAGTACTTTATACAAACTCATATTGAGTATCGATATTGACTCAATTGCATCAACAGTGCGTAGTGTGGCACTTCTGAGGCACAACGTTGAAATAAGGCTGCAACACCAAAGAGAACAAAGAACCGGCACAAAATATGGTCGAACATTTGGATCCAGTGTGTCCATCCGGGACATGAGGAGTGGTGGAAGAAATACGACGAATGATGCAGTTGAAAGATTGGACCCTTAGCGAACATGCGCCAGGGCCACATTGTTGCTCAAACCGCAAAACGGAAAGTGTCCAGAGAATCGGCAATGCTCAACAAGACGGTCAGGTGCTTAATCTGTCCGCAGAAGCCCAACTTCACCATCGTACTTAGTTGCAACAACAGTCTTTTTGGATGTCACGTTCGACTGTTCAACAGGCCATTGACATCATATATAATTTTGCAATGACATAACCTCTTACATATGATGCGCTGAATTTTTTCGTCTACGCAGGAGCGAAATTTTCCGCTAATCCCCGCGGACCCAAACTGCAATACAATACCGCTACTAATTTTTGTTCAATCGACGGTTTGCGACGGTCGGAAACCGTCGCAAACCGTCGGCTCGCCATAACTCTTTAAAAAATGGTTCGCTCGACCTGCAGTTTATACCATCTGATAGCTCTGCTCGAGATCTACAAGATGGAAATTAAATTTCTGAAAGAGCTCCATCTAGGATTGCGCCATGCACTCGACCTCCATCCCGAGAAGTAATGAATATACTTTGTATGTGATGCGCATATAAGTCCTCCTATGCAGCCTGATCATCCCACAGAAACATGGATCTCAACACCCTCAGAATACGCCACGTACCCAACCGGTCCACCATATGGTGAGATTGAATGAATGTTTTTTTTTCGAATTTCACGATCTTTAATTCGTTCTAGAGCGCTAATTGGCTAACCGTGCGCTGATCAACCCATTCTTCCACTCCAAATGAGAATCTTCGAACAGTTTCCAGCAGTAGTAGTAGACCTATTATGTGACATTCCCCACATTTAGAGGAGATGATTTGCGGAAACCTGAGAAGATAGCCAGGAATCTCTCCACAGACGTAGACTCCAGTTACTTCTCTGTAAGATTGATGTAGAATATTTGGTCACGGGTAAGCGCTCCGTCCGTGGTGTGGCCCCAAACATCACTCTCCGTCATGCCCTAAAATGAAAATCAGAGTTTTTGCTCTTCCAGATGACTCTACAGAGCTGAGGGGTGCACCGTTCGATTTCCCATGAAAAATACTACCGAATGGTGTACAACTCAGGTTTCACACAAAACTTTGTTTTTCTCACTTTTTTGCTCCCCATTGCCGATCGTCCTCCCAGCCCTTGGCGCCACGTGCGATTTAGCGAGAAATTCTCTCCACCGACGTGGACTCCGGTCACTTGTCTGTAGGAAAGAGGTAGAATATTTGGTCACGGGTAAGCGCTCCGTCCGTGGTGTGGCCCCAAACATCACTCTCCGTCATGCCCTAAAATAAAAATCAGATTTTTTGCATTTCCAGATGAACTCGCAGACCTGAGATGTGCCCCATTGGATTCCCCGTGAAAAATGCTATCGAATGATATACATTACTCCTCCCAGTTGAAACTTTGGTTTTTCACCGTTTTCAGCCTTCCCCTATTGCCAATTGCGCATCATTATTCCACTATTACTATCCCAAAATCTCAAAGTTTCATTTTTCGTCGAAACTTTGCCTATTGGGGTAATTCGATGCCCTGATTACGAATATGACATTCATTCTCGTAGTGGGGCCCCAAACATCACACCTCGCCCCATTTTTGCGACAACTTCAACGGACGAGTGATGTTTGGGGCCACACCACGGACGGAGCGCTTACCCGTGACCAAATATTCCTACATTCAATCTACAGAGAAGTAACTGGAGTCTACGTCAGTGGAGAGATTCCTGGCTATCTTCTCAGGTTTCCGCAAATCATCTCCTCTAAATGTGGGGAATGTCACATAATAGGTCTACTACTACTGCTGGAAACTGTTCGAAGATTCTCATTTGGAGTGGAAGAATGGGTTGATCAGCGCACGGTTAGCCAATTAGCGCTCTAGAACGAATTAAAGATCGTGAAATTCGAAAAAAAACATTCATTCAATCTCACCATATGGTGGACCGGTTGGGTACGTGGCGTATTCTGAGGGTGTTGAGATCCATGTTTCTGTGGGATGATCAGGCTGCATAGGAGGACTTATATGCGCATCACATACAAAGTATATTCATTACTTCTCGGGATGGAGGTCGAGTGCATGGCGCAATCCTAGATGGAGCTCTTTCAGAAATTGAATTTAACCATCTTGTAGATCTCGAGCAGAGCTATCAGATGGTATAAACTGCAGGTCGAGCGAACCATTTTTTAAAGAGTTATGGCGAGCCGACGGTTTGCGACGGTTTCCGACCGTCGCAAACCGTCGATTGAACAAAAATTAGTAGCGGTATTGTAGGTTTGTCCCGGTATTGTGCAGAACTCCTCGTTTTTTAGAACTAGATATTTTTGCAACATGAATTTGGTCCTAAGAAAATTTTAGACTAGCTATTCTCCTTCAAGAAGTGTCGAAAAAACGCGCCGACACGTCATAACATACATTGTTACTCGGAATTGAGGTCCCGTGTTGAAGCTCAAGCCAGATCGTCTCAAGGTCTTCACCCTTAACGAAGTGTCGTCGACATCTTTCCAACATTCTCTCAAAGTCTTAATTGTCAACTGCTGCCTTTACGCAAGTTCGCCCCGTGAGAAATTAACACAAAAGCTGAGTTGGCTCACTTTCACCCAGCCCGTCGAACCCGACACTCTTTTCCGGACGCCCTCGCTACCATTACACCTCGGGCACCTTTCCACATATAGCTCACTTCGAAGGTGAAATTTACATAGTACTAGTAGTCAACTGCTACACAATTGCCGGACTGCAATTAGTTCTAAATACAGTCCCCGCTAGGGACGAGAATTATGCCCACAAATCAGCATTCTTGGGATAACCTTCCACCAATGTCGTGCTTCTGCATAGCCAGTGAATCTAAGAAACCCCCCACGGATTGTTATAGGAGATCAGTTATCAGCCACAGTTTACAGTATTTGAAACAAATTTTCGCAGCGTGCTGAAGGGAGTGTTCACTACCTGTTTTATCAACGTTGCAAACTAAATAATATGGTGATGAACATTCTGTCGCCCACTCAAGGCGGTTGATGGTTTGAAGTTAAGTTCGTCACGTCAACTACATGCAAGCGTTCGATGATCATATCTCAAGATCTCCGCGAGCTCGCGTGTTGTTTGGCAAGCAGTCTACTTGATGGCTTTTTGTACCATTGTCGGCCTTTGAGGGCCCATTCGAGGCTGCTCTATGTCTGGAGCAACCTATTTATCAGTGCTGTGAGACCGTGTTTTCGTAAACGGATTACCGAAGCTCTGGTGCAACCCAGTGGCAGATTTTGGTCGCGATAATTGTCAATTATGATATAAAAATGTCTGAGCAGCAGAAGACTCGGCTAGTACTCTTAAGAGTCCTCTTACATACGGAAGCACATCATCATCGTCAAATATTTGGCTCATGTTTTGAACGTAACTGAGCTGTGGGGAAGCGAAAGCATCGACCAGTTATATCCTAGTGCTGGTCGAAGTTTGTGAACGTTTCAGGACCGCCTTGAATGGACTAGTGCGCTCCTTGAGGAGTATCATGCCTGTCTCGTGTCGAGCTCACCGGAAGACTGCCCAGTAGCGCTGGAGAATGTCAGGAAGGCGTATGATATGTACGTGCCGGTAGCCATGGTCACTCTACTATTCAAGGTATCACTGCATACACTACATTTCAGATATCTGCCTTTACATTTCTTTCAGGTGGTCGCCATGAAAAACAAGGAAGATATCGAGCCTCTCATCGACCGAGCAAAAGGACTTGTTGAAAATGTTTATACTATGACCAAGTTGTTGGAAAAATGACTATAAATAAGATTGAAGAAAGACTATAAATGCATATATCAATAAATAATTATTGAAATTTTTTTTTGCAAATATGACGCTGCTTATCGCAACATGCATGGGTTCCTTATTCCGGCCCAGCTCATAATTAAAAACTTAGAAACGGCTTCGAAACTTGTAGGGTGGCGGTATTTCCCTTCAGCTGGGGTTTTTTGTGATATCTGCTAGATGTTTTGTTATTAGGTCGGTCAAAAAGTATCCGCCGTTTTGACCCCCTAATTTTGAAGCACCACAACTTTGCTGAAACACAATCTTTTTGTTCGAAATAAAAACTGCTATGTCCAGCAGATTGTTCTCATGCTAAGAAATTCTCCTTCCTATAGATCTTTAATTTATTATAGGCTAAAAGC